CCAACTCTTGGGGTACTCTTTTACCAATGAATAGTGAGATTGACCGTTACATTATAAACGCCCCCATGGCTGAAAAGGGCGAGCATGTTTGGTGGAACGGAGTTTTGAACCCGCAAACCTCAGGTTGCGAGTTAAGCACCCTAACCACCTGGCCATGCCGGGCCTTTACAATAAAGAAGGATGTATATATATATATATATTTAAAATGGTACGACATTTTAATTGCACAAGCGATCGAAACATAGTACCAGTTTTAAAAATATTCATCTTTGCTATCAAAGATGTAACTTCTAAAAAATATAATTTCTTTGTTAGAGGTTGCATTGCGTTTTTAAAAAAACGGCATCTTGGAATGTAACATTGGCACAGTGGAATGTCTGCAGACTTACACTGCTAGAAACCGGGTTTCGATACCCCTGGTGGGCAGCGCACAGATAGTCCATTTTGTAGCTTTGTGCTCAATTACAAACAAACGAAAACTTCATCCTAACGATTTGTTTGTTTTGAATTTCGTGCTACACGAGGGCTATCTACGCTAGCCGTCCCTAATTTAGCAGTGTAAGAATAGAGGGAAGGCAGCTAGTCATCACCACCCTCTGCCAACTTTTGGGCTACTCTTTTACCAACGAATAGTGGGATTGCCTGTCACTTTATAACGCCCCCACGGCTGAAAGGGCGAGCATGTTTGTTGGGACGGGGATTCGAACCCGTGACCCGCAGATTGCGAATCGAGTGCCCTAACCACCTGGCCATGCCGGGCCATCCTAACGATCCAGTGAGCGTAAAAATCACAAAAACGTTGTGCTGTAAACAAGTAAAATTCATACATTCTAACGGCATTTTATGAGGTAAAAAACGTATTATCTTTGTTTTAATAGCAGTACGTTTCATTCAGATGTTCATTTAATAATACAACATATAACAATGTCATTTTTTTAATAAACGATATATCTCATTCCGATTTATGATACCTCGTAATGTAATAATATTTTTTATAACACTGAATAAGTTTTATTACAATATTTTTGTAGTTTAATAGCTATTTCTTTCTGGCATTCTCTACAGTAACAATTCAGAATTTCCTGCAAGCAATATGCCCTATTTTAACGGTACCCTCTGCTAGAATACAGGCAATACACTATGTTTTAACGGCGTTTCTTACCACACGAATTAATAATTTTATCATTATAACAAGCAATATGTTACTGTTTATTATAGGGTCAATAACAATACAATATTAAAAATAGAATTAAATAATTATAAGACCTACATTTAAACATTTTAGCAAAATAGAAAAAACAACAAGAATCATCTCTCTCTCTCTCAAAAAAAGCCCCCCAGTGGCACAGCGGTATGTCTGCGGACTTACAACGCTAGAATCCTGGTTTCGATACCCGTGGTGGGCAGAGCACAGATAGCCCATAGTGTAGCTTTGTGCTTAACTACAAACAAACTCTCAAAAAAAAGAAACGCCAAAACAAACAAAGCCTGCAAATCTCAACCCTAAATAAATTTCAAGTCAAACATCGACAACGAATATATGTAACAATCTTCTTATAATACCCAATCATCGTGATAATATAAACTTTACTTATTTTTATTAATATTAATTAATCATAATAAATAAAGTAATTTTTAATGTTATTTTTTTTTATTGTTATTAATTTTTACAATGATGAAGATTATTTTGCAGTTCAGTTTCTTCCACCACTCTGTGTGTGTGTGTGTCAGCAAGATTTATCGGAAACGGTTGAATGGATTTGAACGAAAGCTGGTATACATTTGCACCATGACCCAACCTAGAAGTTAGTTTTTGGAAGGTCAAGTTCACGAAAATCCAAAAATTCCTATCTGTTAACACGGGGGACAGAATTTTCACCCTATTTTTGCTCTATAAACCACTCAAAAATGATCGGATTTTGATAAAATTTGGTGGACTTATGTAGAATATTATTCTTCATTGTATTGCCAAAAATGATCCATGTCTGTTGATAACGACAGACAGACGGACATGTTCGTATTTCTTTGAGGGTCAAATATGATCAATATGCCTGGCGGAGGTATGCGCTCTGTTGAGTTCCCCTCTAGTTTAGTGTATGGATTTAGAATTAGCCTAAATCTCCTCAGCTGCATGGCGGAATCTCTTGAGATACTATTGGGTTTACTGTTGAAAATATCGTTAATGACGAGGGAACCCAAATGATGATTCAAAGCATTCAAATCGTTAATGTGTTTTGTTTCTTCACTATTGATTTATGACATTATGTATTTCTTTTCAGTTGTTTGAACAGACAGTATATTAATTCGTTTGTTTTTTGTTGAAAGCAAAGCCACATCGAGCTATCTGCTGCGTCCACCGAGGGGAATCGATCCCCCTGATTTTACCGCTGTCCCAGCGGGGGGATATGTTAATTCGTAGATCTATAAGTTATTTTTAAGTGTGGTCTACGTATATAGAGTAAATTTACTTTTAATCATTTGGAATTTAGTGTTTTCTTCCTACATATTTTAAGTTATAATCTAAACACTGTCCTAGATTTTTTAGGTCACAGTATAGCATAACATAGAACATTTGGGTCTCATTTATAATCTAAACACTGTCCTAGATTCTTTAGGTCACAGTATAGCATAATATAGAACATTTGAGTCTCATTTATAATCTAAACACTGTCCTAGATTCTTTAGGTCACAGTATAGCATAATATAGAACATTTGGGTCTCATTTATAATCTAAACACTGCCCTAGATTCTTTAGGTCACAGTATAGCATAATATAGAACATTTGGGTCTCATTTATAATCTTAACCGCAATTATTGTATTGACAGGGAACTGACCATTATTATCCTACTAACACGGAATTGGCCTCTGTCATCGTACTGACACGGAAATAGCATCAACTATCGTACTGACACGGAATTGGCCAATATCATCATTCTGACAAGGAACTGACCACTATTATCATACTGACACAGAAACAGACATTATTATCGTACTGGCACGGAACTGGCCATATTATCATACTGACAAGGAACTGGCCACTATTATCATACTGACACAGGACTAGCCATTATTATCGTATTGACACGGAACTGACCATTATTATCATAGTGACATGAAACTAGCCTCTGTCATCGTACTGACAAAGAACTGGCCACTATTATTTACTGACATATAACGTCTGTATAGGTACGGCAATTCTTTTAAAGCGAACATAATGTTTAATAGCACCAAATCTTTATTACACAACCATGTTTACTTTCTTCAGGGCATGGAGAGCTCAACAATCAGAAATCGGACAACAAGTCTAATCAATGGTTCGGGGCTTCAGTCACGAGCAGCGGTAAAGACGGGACTATTGTGGTAAGTGAATATAATTGACCATTAACCTATTTTATATCATATGCAAGTGGCCAATAAGCTCTTATACACCATGCGCAGGTTGGACTTCTAGGATGATTGATTGTTGTTGCTTTAAAATTATGACACTCGCAAGTGATCACTGCGCTAAGATAAACCGTAAGTAAATGGGCATTAAGGTATTGGACACTGTGTGATACTGACATGTGTGAAATAAGTGCTTGTTGTTACTTTTAAAATTAAGATGTTTGAAAATGGTAGTTACGCTATGACAAACACCGTGTGCAAGTAGTCATTAGAATACAAGTTGTTTGCAAGTGGTCATTAAGACCTTGTACACTGTGTGCTACTGACACTTGTGAAATAAGTGCTTGTTGTTACTTTTAAAATTAAGATACTTGAAAATGGTAGTTATGCTATGACAAACACCGTGTGCAAGTATACAAGTTGTTTGCAAGTGGTCATTAAGACCTTGTACACTGTGTGCTACTGACACTTGTTTTTGAAATAAGTGCTTGTTGTTACTTTTAAAATTAAGATATTTGAAAATGGTAATTTCGCTACGACAAACTGTGTGCAAGTGGTCATTAAGATACAATAAATTGTGTGCAAGTAGTCATTAGAATACAAGTTGTTTGCAAGTGGTCATTAAGCTACAACAAACCACGTGCGCGTCGTCATTTATCACCTATACACGATGCAAAAGTTGCGGATGTAAAAATAGATGTTGAAGTGATTCAGTTTATGTTTAAAAATATATTTTTTGAACATTTTGTAAACCTGCTAAACTGGAATTAAGTTGTAAGTTTTATAACTCTGAAAAGAAGGATTTCGAACGATATGCAACATCGCGACTCCTCACATCTGGTTTAAAATACTTATATATCATGACACATGGTAGTGTGTCGTGCGGCCAAACCAATCTGCAGGACACACTGTATGTTATTTACAGGAGTAATAGTTTAGCGATTTTCCACTTTCTGTAGCTCGGACTGTGGTAATCCAAACTATCACCTATTTTTAGTGGATGTACTTTACTGGACTCTTACTTCACATACCAAATTTCAAGGCAATCCATTAAGAAATACACTAGATATAAAATCTTCAATTTTGATTCAATTTTTCCTTTTTTTTTTCTTCGCACAGAAAGTGTGGAAACATCATTTGATAGCAAAACATACTTAACTTTTAAGAATTATTTTTAAAAAAATTTGTATACTGATAGATCATTGAAAGCTACAATTAAAGTGTTAGGTGTGGTCTAAATATAAGCCACATGTGCAAAGTTATTCAACAAAAACCTCTCAAATTTGACCAAGATGTCACGTGAGCTATCGATCTTAAAATTTTTACTACAGCTTCTTCTAAGAGTAAAAGTGGACATTTTTTAGTTTTTGTCAACCTGATTAAAAACGGCTGATTTAAAGCAGCAAAACTATAGGATGAAAGCAAACTAGATTATCAGTTTCTAGCTTAAATTTTCAAAAGAATCATACTTGTGAATGGTTGTTATTCATTACCAACTTTTAAGCACAAATTTGCTAAATTTTATGAAATTCTCCTAATTAAAGAGCGTTTAGCGTCACGTGATATTAGCGTAAATAATGATGCTTGATACGACTGTACCGAGTGTATATGGGTGATGAAAAGAAACTGTTAATCTAGATTTCATGGCGTTACTATAAAGGAAAAACTACCACCATATAGTTTAAAGGGTTGATTATGTAAAGTATAGGTCTGTTCCAATTAATAGGGTTACGATCCTAAAACTAATGCTAGTTACTATTAAGTGTCACTTTCTTACTTGTTGTGGTTTGTTGGTGTGTATTGACAATAAAAATTCATGATACCTAATCAAAAACACCTTAGTTGTAAAAAAAAAGGTGCAGCCAAAAATGGATTGAGCGTGCAACTTAAAGAAATATAATCAAAATTGGCGGCCATATTGGTAGATACATTTATAGCATAGATAAGAATTTTACAGCAAATATTCATTCATCAGTTAGTTAGGCAGCGTATTTTGTTTTACCCATCATCATTCCACGAGTCTGGCTAACTAATGAACGTAACTAAACTTGACACACACACAGAATAATGTTCTGAAACTCAAACATCCAGTGCAATATTTAATAGCACGCTCAGTGTTGCATATTTCTGTTTCTTGAAACGTAATCAGTGATTGAAACTAATAATTTTTCGATTATCAGATATGCTTTTTACTGGATGACGTTTTGGACTGCTAGTACAAGTTCCAGGATGACCAAAACTTCGTCTTCAAATAAACTGGCAAAAACCATTGAAATCTATCATAGAAAGATAAACTGTATATACTCTTGAATAAATACGCATCTTTCAGAAGTTATAAAATAAATACACTCCGAAATAATAACTGACTCGTAAAGAGAACACCTCGTTGTTGATCCTACGTAAAGATGGCAAGTTTATTTCAGTATTACTCTAAATATTTGAAGGATTAGAATGATATCCTTAAATTCGATAAAATTCTGTAGTCTTACGTTTGATTTGAATATACATAAGACCTTAATTTGTAAGTAGGTGTGTCCAAGAAGGCTATTTTTTCTTACTAGTTAAAAAGCAATGATGAACTTAACGACTTTCCAATATACATTGCAAGGATTTCTTATCCCAATTCATGAGGTTCTGGTTACTTCTGATTTCAGTGTAGTGAAAGAAGTGGAGTATACTACAATGTAATATAAACAAACATCTGAGTTTCTTATCCCGACTCATGAGGTGTAATATAAACAAACACGAGTTTCTTATCCCGACTCATGAGGCGTAATATAAACAAACATGAGTTTCTTATCCCGACTCATGAGGCCCTGGTTACTACATACTCCAGCATAGTGAAGGAGGTGGAGTATACTACAACGTAATATAAACAAACATCTGAGTTTCTTATCCCGACTCATGAGGCGTAATATAAACAAACATCTGAGTTTCTTATCCCGACTCATGAGGCTCTGGTTACTACATACTCCAGCATAGTGAAGGAGGTGGAGTATACTACAACGTAATATAAACAAACATCTGAGTTTCTTATCCCGACTCATGAGGCGTAATATAAACAAACACGAGTTTCTTATCCCGACTCATGAGGCGTAATATAAACAAACATGAGTTTCTTATCCCGACTCATGAGGCCCTGGTTACTACATACTCCAGCATAGTGAAGGAGGTGGAGTATACTACAACGTAATATAAACAAACATCTGAGTTTCTTATCCCTACTCATGAGGCCCTGGTTACTACATACTCCAGCATAGTGAAGGAGGTGGAGTATACTACAACGTAATATAAACTCAGATGTTTGTTTATATTACGCCTCATGAGTCGGGATAAGAAACTCAGATGTTTGTTTCTTATCCCGACTCCACTATACTGGAGTATGTAGTAACCAGGGCCTCATAAGGAGGTGGAGTATACTACAACGTAATATAAACAAACATCTGAGTTTCTTATCCCGACTCATGAGGCTCTGGTTACTACATACTCCAGTATAGTGAAGGAGGTGGAGTATACTACAACGTAATATAAAACAAACAACATAATTTCTTGGCTTACACCAACAAACTTGGATGAATTGAATAATGTAAATCAAAACGTAATTAATACAAGCATCAGAGCTACAAATACAAATATATATAATCATCTTTTAATTCTATTAAATTTACCTTATTTAGAACCTTTAAAAAATTAATAAAAACAAATAAACTCTAATCTTAAATTCGTTGCTCTTAGCCACCCTGATTATTTCATGACACGTTCATTACTTTATTGGAAACCCAGTCATTATTCCGCTTCGATAGATGTATTGATGATAGGCCTAGGACCAGTGCCTACGGGCTTCTGCTTCTCTCTAAGTATAAATATTGTTAATACAACAAGATAGCTGTGTCGTGTATAAAACGTTGGAATAAAAAAATCTTAGGATTAGAAGCACTAATCTGCTTTATTTCAACCACAAAATCAGTTTATGTAATTCTTCAACGTGTATAGCAATGCATTACTTTCAGAACATTGACCCGCCAGTGTGCTAAAAAGATTACGTCACTGGATCTTTCGGGTCGTTCCTAACAGTATAATGCATAAAAGAAAACGACAAAGGCTTTCTCAACATGAAACTAAATCCGAAATGCTTTAGGCATATAGCCTCAAGTCTTCTCCTTCACACCTCCCGCATCAGTTCTAATAAAGACATTAACTTGATCTATAGTCACTAATAAGATATTTCAATAAAAAGAGAACTAGGTGAGTGACATCTTTGTTTCGCGTGGAAGGTAACATGTAGACGAATGATTTAAGACTAGGCCCAACAACCTAATAGAGCGAACAGTACGGCTTAAGGCTAAGACTCGTAGAGGAATGCATTACTTACTAATTACCAGTCTTTTGAACTCTCCAGATGAGAGAAGCGGGAACTGCGCTGTTACTTTTATCACCGCTTTGAACTGTTACCCACTACCAATCTGTGAAACCGTGAAGCTATATTTTACTCAAAACTTTCCAATGAATGTGACGTCTGAGGTGTTGTTGTGTTTTTTTTTTTCCTCACTCGACAAAACGTTTTTCAAGTACATCAACATATGTCTCTCTTCCAATGTCAAACACCACTTACAGCACAAGTTGCCAGTAGCCTTAGCGATAACGCATTTTCGTTCACTGGGAAATTTCAATTCAATTATTTATCACTTCCTCTAAAGCAGTAGTAAAGGGAAATATAAAACCCCCTTATTCAAAATACATTCACAGACTCAACGAATCAGTAGTGGCTAAGGCTTAGGATTATTTATGTTGCTTTTCATGTATATACCACTAAAATCATTATATACCACCCAATTATTAACATTATCACAAGCATACAGACTCTACGCTGGGGAGAGAATGGGAGGAGGGATAGTGACAGGAAAAAAAAAAGATGAATATTCTTTCGTGTCACCGTGAGACTTTGTGACTCCTCCCCAAATATGGTACTGTCGTAC